ATCATGACACCTCAACTTCCTAGGGTTGTGGGGAGGATGGCGATATGAAAACCTAGAAAGCAGAACAGTGTCTGGCCCAGCTGTTCTGTGTGTGGGGTCTCTAGCCATAGAGGCAATTCGAGTCACTAGAATCAGTGTGTCGGCCCAATTTGGGTGCCCCATATTGTGCTGGACAGTGGGACTGATCAACAGGACAGACAAGCGAGTCGGCCCAATTTGGGTGCCCCATATTGTGCTGGACAGTGGGACTGATCAACAGGACAGACAAGCGAGTCGGCCCAATTTTGGTGCCCCATATTGTGCTGGACAGTGGGACTGATCAACAGGACAGACAGCTCAGGGACGATCCCGTAAACCAGTCCTGGAGCTCTTGGAGGCATCTGATTGACAAGCTTGCTGAATAAAGGGTCATGGAGTGTCTCTCACAGGGAGACACGGGGTCAGGGTGGGGAGTGCTCAGCCAGGGCCTTGCCTGCCTGCCAAAATCTGCCAGCCGTTCTAGTGCCAGGCACCCAAGTCAGCACTGGTTGTATTTCCTGTTTCATTAAACTTCCTTCCGGCCTGGCACCGTGGCTCATGCCTGTAATTGTGAGGCTGAGATGGGCAGATCACCTGAGGTCAGGAGTTTGAGACCAGCCTGGCCAATATGGTGAAACCCTGCCTCTACGAAAAATATAAAAATTAACCAGGCATGATGGCAGGTGCCTATAATCTCAGCTACTTGGGAGGCTGAGGCAGGAGAATGGCTTGAAACTGGGAGGTGGAGGTTACACTGAGCCGAGATCTTGCCACTGCACTCCAGCCTGAGCAGCAGAGTGAGACTCAGTCTCAAAAAAAAAAAAAAAGAAGAAGGGCGGGTGTGGTGGATCACACCTGTAATCCCAGCACTTTGGGACGCTGAGGTGGGCGGACCATGAGGTCAGTTCAAGACCAGCCTGACCAACATTGAGAAACCCTGTCTCAATTAAAAGTAAAAACAGCCGGGAGTGATGGCGTGTGCCTGTAATCCCAGCACTCAGGAGGCTGAAGCAGGAGAATCGCTTGAACCTGGGAGGCCAAGGTTGCAGTGAGCCTCGATCACGCCGTTGCACTCCAGCCTGGGCAAGAGTGAGAGTCTGTCTCAAAAAATATACAAGTGGGCCGGGCACGGTGGCTCAAGCCTGTAATCCCAGCACTTTGGGAGGCCGAGGCGGGTGGATCACGAGGTCAAGAGATCGAGACCATCCTGGTTCACATGGTGAAACCCCATCTCTACTAAAAATACAAAAATTAGCTGGGCATGGTGGTGCGTGCCTGTAGTCCCAGCTACTCAGGAGGCTGAGGCAGGAGAATTGCCTGAACCCAGGAGGCGGAGGTTGCGGTGAGCTGAGATTGCGCCATTGCACTCCAGCCTGGGTAACAAGAGCGAAACTCCATCTCAAAAAATAATAATACACAAAAACACTTAATTCCACTTTGACCTATAGCCACCAGCCTCCAAGTTCCTTCTGTTTCTCTTGCTCTGGCCTCCATGTGTACAGTAGGGTTCTCAGGCCCAGGCTTCAACCAGAGGACCCCCCCGCCACCACTGTTTCTTCCTGTCCTTGAGCCCCCTTGGTGAACTCATGACCCCAGGCCCCGGCTCCACCAGGATGTCCCCCAGGTCCTGCCAGCTGGGTAGTGCCAGCACAAATGCCTCAACTTCATGGAAGCCAGGGTTCAAAGTGGAAACACAGGCGGCCCGCTAGGCCCTGTCCCTGACTGCTGATGGACCTCCAGCAGAGGTCAGCAGTCCAGGCCAGCTCCTGTCTGTATGGGCCAGATGATCCTGAGAGCACCCAAGCTCCTAAGGCTGTCGGAACGTTTCACTTGGCCATGGTGTCTCCCGCCCCCACCATCCGGTGGTGTCCACATCAAGCCAGAGGCTAACTCTATTCCCCACGGGGACATCAGGCAGTGTCTGGAGACATTTTTGGCTGGGACGGAGGGATGCTCCTGGTATCTAGTGGGTGAAGATCAGGGCAGCTGCTGCAGTGCACAAGACGGGCCCCGCCCAGAAACACCAGCTTGGCACACAGCCGGGAGGCCGGGAAGCCCCATCGCCAGTTTTTTTTTCCTTTTTTTTTAAAGAGACGGGTTTTCACCACGTTGGCCAGGTTGGTCTCGATCTCTTGACCTCGTGATCCACTTGCCTTGGCCTCCCAAAGTGCTGGATTACAGGCATGAGCCACTGTGCCCGGCCAGTTTTTTTTTTTTTTTTTAAGATAGTTTCACCCTTGTTGCCCAGGCTGGAGTACAATGACACGATCTCGGCTCACCCAAAACCTTGGCCTCCCAGGTCAAGCGATCCTCCTGCCTCAGCCTCTTGAGTGTCTGAGATTACAGGCATTTGCCACCACACCCAGCTAATTCTGTATTTTTAGTAGAGATGGGGTTTCTCCATGTTGGTCAGGCTGGTCTCGAACTCCCGACCTCAGGCGATGCATCTGCCTCAGCCTCCCAAAGTGCTGGGATTACAGGCATGAGCCACCGTGCCTGGCACACCACTGGTTTTTAGCCCTTTTTGTTTTTGTGGGGCATAGAGACTCATGAGACTGTGATGAATGTTCTGAATGCCTGGAAAAAACGTGCATGTGAATATGTGCTCTCAACATTTAACACGATTTCAAATGGCCGGGCGCGGCGGCTCACACCTGTAATCCCAGCACTTTGGGAGGCCGAGGCGGGTGGATCACGAGGTCAAGAGATCGAGACCATCCTGGTCAACATGGTGAAATACTGTCTCTGCTAAAAATACAAAAAATTAGCTGGGCACGGTGGCGCATGCCTGTAATCCCAGCTACTCAGGAGGCTGAGGCAGGAGAATTGCCTGAACCCAGGAGGCGGAGGTTGCGGTGAGCCGAGGTCGTGCCATTGCACTCCAGCCTGGGTAACAAGAGCGAAACTCCGTCTCAAAAATAATAAATAAAATAAAACAAGATTTCAGAAGGCTCTTGGAAGTTCCAGTGTCCACCTATGAATCCTCAGCTAAGAATCCCTGCTTGCTGCCCTCCAACTGCTGTGGCAGTAGCACCTGAATTTCAGAAACAAAAGGCCAGATGCAGTGGGTCACACCTGGAATCCTAGCACTTTGGGAGATGGAGGCAGGAGGATCCCTTGAGCTCAGGAGTTCCTGACCAGCCTGAGCAATGTAGTGAGACATGATTTAAAAATTAGCTTGATGTGATGGCAGGTGCCTATGGTCCCAGCTACTCCGGAGGCTGACACAGCAGAATCGCTAGAATCCAGGAGGCAGAGGTTGCAGTGAGCTGAGCTGGCGCCACTGCACTCCAGCCTGAGTGACAGAGCGGGACCCTGTCTCAAAAAAAAAAAAAAGGAAAGACAGGAACGGCTTGGCTTTGGCTCATTCAGAGACACATCCTTGGGGACTGCCACAGGAGCCATGTCTCTACCGTTTGATGACATGGAGCTCTGTCCCTCCTTACTTTTAACATGAGAAAGAAAACAGCATTTAGCAGGATTTGCATTGTAACAAAGAGGAATTTTCTCCCTGTAAAAGAAATAGAACAGGCTGTATTATCCAATGTATATAGATGTGTTTTAAAGTTCTCAACAACTCCCTTACCTCCACCTCGCAGGCCCACTGCTCAGGTGCTCATATGGGTCTCACTGTGTCCTCCCCCCGCCCACCGCTTGCTCCCTCTCCACCAGGACCAAGGAGGGCTTCCTGATATCTGCAGCCTCGCCTCATCCACCTCCACGGTAAGCTTGTTCAAGACTGGAGGATGTGGAGGTGCACACGGGGGGGACCTGGAGCCAGCAGGTGACCTGTAGCTGCCCAAGTGAGATGGGCTCTGTGGCCCCAGTGAGAAAATTGTCTGTGAGATGCTGGGGGTACCTGGGACCAGGGAGTGCTCTCGGCCACTGTTACTTCCTTTTGCAAAACAAGATTACAGGGAGAGAGTTAGGATGTCCTGGCAAAATCCAGATACTGGGTTGGACCTGAAGAAACAAGATTCATCGTCCTGGCCTCACACACGAAGCCCAGGATGCTGCAGTGGAGGAAGGTCCCACCAGGGCTGCCTCCCCCAGGCAGCCCCAATCCCCACTCAGCCAGGCCCCCACCAGCTTCTCTGTTTGCACTGAGGTATGTGTGGGGGGGCACCTGATTAAGAAGTGTGAGAAGGGCCCTGAAGTCCTCACGTGGCCTTGGGCAAGTCCCTCTGCTTGCTAAACCCTGCTGACCTCACCTGGAAAATGGGAGAACCCCTTAATGGCCCTGAAGGCATTTGTTTTTTTAATCTTGAGACTGAGTCTCGCTCTGTCACCCAGGCTGGAGTGCAGTGGCACATGGTTGGCTCACTGCAACCTCTGCCTCCTGGGTTCAAGCGAGTCTCCTGCCTCAGCCTCCCAAATAGCTGGGACTAACCTAATTTTGTTTTTTTTTTGAGACAGAGTCTTGCTCTGTTGCCAGGCGCCAGGCTGCAGTGCAGTGATGGAATCTCAGTTCACTGCAACCTCCACCTCCCAGGTTCAAGCAATTCTCCTGCCTCAGCCTCCTGAGTAGCTGGGACTACAGGCGCCCGCCACCCGGCCTGGCTAATTTTTGTATCTTTTAGTAGAGACAGATGATCTTAATCTCTTGACCTCCTGATCTGCCCACCTCAGCCTCCCAAAGTGCTGGGATTACTGGTGTGAGCCACCTCGCCCGGCCTAATTTTTCTGTCTTTTTAGTAGAGACAGGGTTTTACCATGTTAGCCAGGATGGTGTCAATCTCCTGCCCTCATGATCCGCCCGCCTCAGCCTCTCAGGGTCTAAAAGCATTTTTACAAGCACAGCCTGAATGGTGACAGGGTTCCATACTCAGTCCTCCCCAGTCCGTCACCCTCTCAAATCCCTCTCTCACTGCTCTCAGCGCTGCAGGCCTGCGTTGCCTCCTCCACTCTCCCCAGCACAGCTGAGGGTCTCACCCTCCTGACATCCCTTCAAAATATAAGCCAAAACAGAAAACTGCCAAGAGTGCTACTTATAACAAGGTTTTAATAAAATAAAAAGTTCAAGTGCTTCCAATCCCCCAACATACTCCTTTCTGGCGTGGGGGAGGGGAGGGAGCCCCCCACCCCAATAGCACCAGGGATAGCACCATAGAAAGATGAGGTCGCACCCGGCCTCCCTGAGACCCATGGGGGTGGTGAGGAGGACGTGCCCCCAGACATCCCCCACCCTTCCCCCTACCGCAGACAGTTGCAGAGCTGAGAGCGAACCCAGTCCCCTTCCTGGGGCAGTCTCTGGGGAGTGCAACCCCTAGGTCATTTCTACCTCCTCCTGAGGCCTGGACTTCTGGGGAGATGCCATGGGTGGCCCCTGCCCCCTATGGCTTTGCTCCCTGGGGAGGAAGGGGCTGAGGGAGTCGGGTGGCTCCTGCAGTCCTGAGGCTGGGGCAGGGGTGGGGAGGGCAGCAAATGGCCAGGGCTCCCTGTGGGGGTGGCTCAGGGGTCAGCAGTCACAAAGGGTCAGGGGTCAGCTCCCTGGGGGTGTCCACACCAGCCCTGCTCCAGGGTCAGAGCTGTGCTGTGGTCAAGGGTTAGCTCCCTCACAGAGGCCCAAGGGCTCCTTCTGGAAGTCCTGGGGTGGCCAGGAGAGAGACTCTCCCTCCCTGCTGGGCATCTCTGTCTGGTCTGTCACAGCGCTTCACCGTCGACATCCAGGTCGATGGAGCCGTGGCTGACCACCAGCCGTAGGCGCTTGGGTGGGGAGAAAGGGGCGAAGGCAAGGGCTTGTTTGGGGATCAGGATGGGGGGGCCTAGGGTCCCAGCAGGGGCTGGGGTGACTGGTGGGGTTGGGGACAGGCGGTGAAGGTCCACACGCACCACGTAAGGCAGCCCATAGCGCCGGGCCCAGTGCCAGTCATGCTGGGGGCCCCAGTGGGTGCGGGGAGGCTGGCCCAGGGCCACCAGGGCCTCTCCTCCTAGGCGGCAGTGGGGGCCACAGCCTCCCCATTGGTGCAGGGAGACTTGGGCATTGTAGGGGGTGGACAGCACTGGGGCCCTCCGGGGCCGGGGACGTCGGCGCTTCCGGGGCCGCACTCGGGGCTGGGGCTGAGGCAGCCACTGGAGCCAGAGGGGTGAGGTGTCTGGGCGGGTACTGCAGGGTGGCAGGCGCAGGGGCTGGCAGGCAGCTATGAAGGCCCAGGTGGCAGGGAGGAGAAACAAAGGAGAGGCAAAGTCAGTGCAAGCGGGTACTCCCAGGACATGGAGGCAGCGCTGCCCAGCACCCCCCAGAGGAATGCGCAGACGGAACAGGCAGAACCTGGCAACCGCAACAGCGAGGCCTGCCGCCCCCCAGGCAGAGAGATAGGAGACAGGTGAGCAGCAGTGGATGGGGGAGGGGCTCACCGCAGAATGGGTCCCGGCGCAGCGAGGACAGGTGTGCGCAGGCCCGAGGGCCCCGCAGGCCCTGCCAGCTGCTGCTGTCTAGGCCTTGCTGCAGCCGCCGCTTGGTCTCACGCAGCTGGTACTTGTCCAGGGGCCGTGGTGGCAATGCAGGCTCCCTAGGCCTCGTTCGGAAAGCTCCTTCACCTTTCCTGGGAGACCGGGTGAACGGGAGCTGAGGCCGAGTGAAGGGAAGGTGAGTCCAAGTGGAGGGGAGGGGAGGCCGGGTGGAGGGAGGAGAGGCCGGGTGGAGGGAAGGGGAGGCCGGGTGAATGGGAGCTGAGGCCAGGCGGAGGGAGGGGAGGCCGGACGGAGGGGAGCTAAGGCCGGGCGGAGGGAGGGGAGGCTGGGTGAACAGGAGCTGAGGCCGAGTGAAGGGAAGGGGAGGCCGGGTGAACGGGAGCTGAGGATGGGTGAAGGGAAGGGGAGGCCAAGTGGAGAGAAGGGAAGGCTGGGGGGAGGGGAGGGGAGGCCAGGCGGAGGGGAGATTCAAGGCTGGGGTTGGACACACTCAGGGATGGGCCTCAAGGGTGCATTTCCAGGCTCAAGGACTCCAGACGCCTGGGGCAGACAGCCTGTCCCGAACCACCCCCCTCCCCCGCCTCTCTCCCGCCCTCACCTTTCACAGGTGTAGCATTCACAGTGCTCATTCTTCTCACCAAAGAAGCCCTCGCCATAGAAGCACGTCACCTCATCCCCTGGCTCAATGTCACGGAGCACCTTCACGCAGGCTGCATTCCCGTCTGCGGGCACAAACTGAGGGCCAAGCCTACTCAGTGCCAGGACCTGGGCCCAGGGGAGGACTGACCCATTCCCCATGCCTGGCCAGGCACCCGGGGCCTGAGTGTCCTCTCCTGGAATGGGGCGACAGCTGAGCCCCAAAAAGTGCCATTCCAAGGCGGCTGCCCTGCCCGGGGCCTGTCCTTTGCCTATAGCCCCTAGACAGTCCACCCACTGGCTGGTTTCCATGCCCCCTGCAGGACAATGATCTAACCTGACCTTCTGGCAGCGTGCAGTGCCAGCAGTGGTGACCACTCCCTCTGGCCTCTGTGGTCTGAAGCCAAGCCCCACCTCCTCTGCCACACCCAAGCCCCTCCACCTCCTCTGCCACACCCAAGCCCCTCCACCTCCTCTGCCACACCCAAGCCCCTCCTGTCCTCAGCTGCCTGCTCCCCCTGCAAGGCCACCTCCCATTCTGCCTCCACTCCGCAGCCCAATCCGTGTGCTCTGGCCCTGCCTTTGGGATCATTCACCCAGGTGCTGTTCCACAGGCCCCACACAGCCACTAACCCTGCCTAGGAGGGGCATGACCACTCTCCACCCAAGTGTCCACCTACCCATCCGCTCCAGCTTGACACTTGTCTGGGAGTGGCCTCGTCACCTGCCTACCTGATGGTCCCCAGCACAACCAGCCACTGCCTCCTGAGTGTACCACCTCCTGCACCCTCGTCTTCCTCCCATCCCTGAGACCCCTGTGGGGTTAGCCCCTCATCACCTGTTTGTGGCCACCCTGCCTCCAGCCTCTCCCCTTCCTGCCAAGCCTCCTGCACCTGGGCCTCCAGGGTGATCTAAAAACCAAGCCTCCCATTATACACCATGGGGGGAGTATGTGGCACCCTGGCCCAGGCCACAAAGCCTTGCTGCCCAACCAAAGCTGTCACTAGGCACCCCCAGCCCTCTGGTGTGCCATGTCCTGTTAGACGCCCTCCTTTGCCCCCAATTTCTCCCAGGGAAATTCTGCTCCTCCTCAGTGCCCAGCATGGCATTGCTTCTGTGAAGCCAGATGGATCTGGCTTGCTGGCAAGCTGGCCGCTCTCTCCTGTGCTAAGGTGACTGGTGAACTCGCCCTGCAGAGTGTCTCCGAGGGCTGCCTTTTGACTCCATCCCCACAGTGTCTGTGGGTGGTGCCAGATCAGGCCCCAACTTTGCTGTCCAAAACCCTCCGGCACACTTGCCTGGCCTGCAGAGCCCCTGGGCAGATCCTCAGCGGCCCCATCTGAGACGAGGACCCATGGCCAGGGCGGCATAGCCAGGACCCCACCTCAGTTCTGACTTTGGAGCCAAAGACCTGGATCCCCTTGTCATGCCTCCCGGGGTGCCCCACCGAGGTCTGCGCTCCAGAGGGTGCCCCCTCAATGCCTTCCTGGAGCCAACCCTCCTCACTCCTTCCACTTCCCAGCTACAGGACAACTAGCATCGTCTCCTCAGTCTGTCTGGACACCATCCTGAGTCCTAGGCCCGGGGATCTCTGGCCTCACTGCTCTTGCCACCACAGCGGCCTGTGTTCTTCCCTGCAAGACTGGAGGGTCCCCAGCACAGGCCCCTGCCTCCCTGTCCCCACACTCCCTGCTCAAACTGGCACAGCTCCCAGCTTGGTTTTCAGAGAAGATGGCCAGCAGCTGGCAGCCAGGGTTCCAGTGGGACTGCACAGAAAGCCAGGCAACAGTGGCCACTGGAGCCCCTTCCTCCTCTGCAGCAGCCTTGTGACCAAACACCCATTCTGCCCCTTCCAGGGTCGGTGGGAAGCCATGGAGATATGGGACAGCATTTGGCTCTTGATTGACCAAAAGGTCCCTGCCCCGGGCCACAGGTGCCTTCCTTCCTGAAGGCCTGCTCCTCCCCAGTCCCAGGGTCTCACCTTGCAGTTGGGTTTGCAGTCTGGATCCAGTCAGGGCAAGAGAGAGAAGAGAGGTGGGTGAGCTCAGGAGCCCAGTCACAGAGCCCTCCCACTACACCCCTCCAGCCCCGCCTGGCCCCACTCGTCCTGCCCATCCACCTGCCTGCCCTCACCATGGTTGATGAAGGCGGCGGGGCCCAGCCACAGCTGAGCACTCCGCTTGCGGGTGGAGTACATGATGCTGAAGTCATTCTCGCCGGCCCTCAGCAGCCCCTCGTCTGCCTCCCGCAGCTCTGCAATGCAGCCCACCAGCAGCTCCAGCTTCTCATTCTTCTTCCTGCCAAGAGGCCAGCGGGCAGGGCTGTGAGCAGTGCATGGCCGTCGGGGAACTGGGGCACAGAGGCACCCGGGAGGCAGGGACCCCTGTGTGCTGCTTGCTGCCGGTTGATCCTTCTTCCATGTCTCTCTCTCCTTCCTTCCCTCCTGGGGGGGCTTCCCTGCTCCAGCCCACAGCCTCACAGGACCCTTCAGCTGAAAGCCTTCAGGATAGCACATACACAGCAGATACAGCCCCATCCCCTCTCCTCGCTCTCACAGCACCTCCTGCCCCCAACTCCCTCCTGCCAAGACCTCCTTCTACTCGCCACACCGGACCCTCAGCCTGGTGCTTCCCCTCAGTGTCAGCCTTGCCCTGGGAGCAACTCTCATTCCCAGCGCTTCTGGAATGAGCTTGGACCAGCTGGGACCAGCAGCTGCACGTTGACTTGTCTGCCACCCGCCTCCTCACCGGACTGTGAACCCCGCAGGGGCAGGGTCTCCTCACCATACTCAGGTGGGGGCTCAGATCACGATGAGGTAAGGACAGCCTCAACAGAAGCCTAGTTCTTTCACGGAAGCCCCAAGAACCCTGGGGTCACACCTGGGGTTTCCTGCTCAGCAGCACCAGGGTAGCCACAAAGGTCTTCTGGGATTAGCCTTGCCACCCTCCTACGATGCCCAGAGGACCAGCCCCTGCTCTTTTCCCTGGTTGGCCTGTCCACGAACAGGGCTCTCTTGTCCCCTCCGAGGAAACCCAGAGGAAGTCCTGCCCCCTTACCAAGCACGAGTGGACACAATCTTGGCCCCGTTGGTCTCCATGGAGTATCGCGTGCAGGGCAGGATGGCAAAGCCACTTTCTGGCAGGAAGGCACGGAGGTAGCGATAGACCTGGTGAGGGTGAGGGTGGGGCTGAGGAGGCGGGGCAGGGGCATCGTCTGCCCCCTCTCTCCAGGACTCTAGGCTTGCTCTGCCACTGACTCACTGTGTGGTCTCAGGGGCCCCACGTCCCCTCTTGGGGCCTCAGTGTCCTCATCCATCAAACGAAGAGGTTGGACTCCATCTCAGAGGGAGGGACCCCCCAACTCTCCTCTCCTAGGATTCTCTGAGCCTTGCCTCAGATGGTCCCAAGGGCTGCGCTGAGGGGCTCTAGAGCGTCTGCCAGGCGGGGCCAGGCCGGGTGAGCGGGAAGGACACGCGGCGAGGGCAGGGGAGGGGAGGGCTCCCTCACGTGGGTCTTGAGGGCAGCCTCCTGCCGCGGGCCCCGGCTCTGGAAGTAGTGGGTCATCCAGCCTCCCAGCGTCAGGGCCCGGTACGCAGCCTCCAGGTCCCGCTGCCTCAGGAAAGCTTCCAGCGCTGAGCGCAGGTGGTGCTGTCGCCGCAGGGGGGGCACAGGGCTGGGGGAGAGGCATGCCTGGGTCCCAGGGCCTTTCCGGGCCCCGGCCCCAACCCCCACTTGGAGCTGAGGGGAGGACCAGGCTGAGAAGTGGGCTGAGGGATGGCCGTGGTACGAGGGGAGGGGTCCTGACCCCTCGGGCCCACCCTCACCCCCAGGCAGCCTCACCTGACATTCATCTTATGGGTGCGGAAACCGAGGTAGGGGTCTAGGACGAGGCTGGTGGCCAGGTCGTCGTTCTCACACAGTTCTCGTGCTGTCACTCTGTCGGGCCCCATGGTACCCCTCGGACCATGCTGCCTCTGGCAGAGAGCAGGGGCAGGTGAGGGCAAGGCGGGTGTGGGGAGCCTGGCTTGGTGCTGACTCCACTCCTACGCTACTCAGAAGCGGTGGGGGATGCTGGCGAGCCCCAAGACCTCATCTGCAAAATGGGGAGAAAAGCAGTGCTGACTTCGCCAGACTGCTGGCAAAGATGGAACGCAGCAAGTACTTCTGAGAGTGGGGAAACCCAGAGTGATGTCAGTCATCACCTTAGCGTCTCTATCCCCTCTCCTTCTGCAGCGCAGACTACAGCCCCCACGTGCAAACGGCACCAGGCACACCCATGCAATGTGCACAGAGACACCCTCCACACACATATCTCTACCGGCCCAGGAAAGGCTGACTGGCAGCCAGGATCACCCTAAAGGCTTAGCACCGTGGGGAGCGGCTTCACCTCTAGCCCTCAAGGAGGAAAAGTCAAAGCTTCCCGCCAGCCGGAGGTCCCGCCCTCCACCCCCACCGCGGCCCTGCCTCGGTCTCCGCCCCCTGCCTCCCCGGCAGCCTCCGGGAGTGGTCGGGAGGCTCCGGGTGAAACCCCAGGCAGCGTGAGGGGGGTGTGGGGAGGGAGAGCATGGGGAGGGATCCCAGCACCTGCTCCCTCTCCAAGGATTCCAGGGGAGGGGGGCTCAGAGGACAAAAGCAGGGGTGGGGAGGCAGCACAGGTCAGCATGTACAAACAAATTTTTTTAAAGAGCAAGGAAAGAACTGAGAGGAAGAAAACAACCCAAAACCCCAACGCGGACAGACGGCCAGTCGTGTCCCCGCACCAGGTCGCCCAAGGCTCATCTGCGCCCGGGAGAAAATGAGACCGGGCAGGGCAAGGAGCGGGAGCTGCAGAGACGGCGGCAGAGGGGTCGGGAACAGACTGGGAGGCTGCGGGAGAGAAAGAGGGGGCGCTGCAGGAGGGCGCCGGGGACGGCGGGGGAGCTGGAAAGGAGGCTGGGGGCAAAGACAGAGACGCACAGTGGTGGGGACGGCAGGGGGCCGCGGGAGGGAGAAGGCTGCAGCCCGGCCTGGGGGTGCCCAGAGGATGTGAGGAAGGGATGGGGGTGCCAGGAAGGACAGAGACAGGGGGAAGGCCTAGAGACCCAGGGAGGAACAAGACGGGGGACGGCAAAGTGCCTGGGCGTCCAGTGAGTGAGGGGCCGGAGAGGGCAGACAGCGACCCCGGGAACCAGACAGGGCTTTGTGGGGTCCTGAGGGACCCCGGAAAGGGAGACCCTAGGGAAGGACCTGGGTAGGCGGTGAAAGCCCAGGGCAAGGGACCTGGAGGGTCAGAGGCCGACCTCAGGGTCCAGAGAGAACGAGGAGAGGGACAGGGGGTCAGCGAGAGGTTCTGGGGCACAGAGAGACCTAGAGTGTGCAGGAGGAGGCCTGGAGGGTGGGGGGAGGTCAGGTATTGGCCCTGGGGGTGCAAGGAGGGCGCAGGGGCGAGAAAGGGGTCAGGAAGGCCCTGGGGGTGCAGGGAGGGCGCAGGGGCGAGAAAGGGGACAGGGAGGCCCTGGGGGTGCGGGGAGGGCTCAGGGGCGAGAAAGGGGACAGGGAGGTCCTGGGGGTGCGAGGAGGGCGCAGGGGTGAGAAAGGGGACAGGGAGGTCCTGGGGGTGCAGGGAGGCCCTGGGGGTGCAGGAAGAGGCCTGGAGGGCGAGGTCAGGGGTGCAGGAGGCGGCCTGAGGGTGCAGGGAGGGCCGTGGACGTGATAAGGGAGTCAGGAAGAGGCCCGGGTGAGAACGCACAGGGAGGAGGCTGCGATGCTGCGGAGCCCGAGGCCTGGCGAGGGGACAGGAGACGTGGGCGCCTGGACACGAGGAGGGGCCGGGCGGGGTGGGGGGCAGTCGGGGCAGGGAGCAACTGGAAGCCAAGGCGGCGCGGGGCTGGGGCCGTCAGGGGGCTCAGAGGTCGGGCCCCGCGCCGCCCCTCACCCGCTTCTCCTCCTCTTCAGGCGCCCGCGCCGCCGCCGCCAACACCTCCCACTGCCTCCTTCAGCTCTAGTCAAACACTGTCGCCGCACCTCCCATCTGATCGCTGGGCCCGCCCCGCCAAGGCCACTGAGGCTTTCTATTGGCTAAAGCCACCGCCACTCCTCCGTTGCTATGAAGCTCACGGTCCTCTCATTGGCCAAGCCCCACTCTTTCCCTCCCCACCAGTCCTTCGTCAGTGCCCGATAAAATCCCGCCACGCCCCCGCTTCCGTCAAACGCCGCGTACTCTTGCGAGTGGCTCACATCGCTGTCCTTCAGCCGCTGCCCTGGAGACTTGTCCCGCCTCCTGCCCCACTGAAGCCCGAAATGGACGCACTCATTGGCCGAAAGCGCAGTCGCTCCCGGCGAAATTCGGATTGGGTCGGGTTATTCAGGTCCAAGTGGAAAGAGGGCGGGCTCTGCCAGCTCCGGTAGTCGTATGTGATTGGCTGGCATTGGGACAGCCCCTCTTTCCATTAGCTATAGCCTCCGTCCATCAACCATAGAGTCGCGGCCTCCTTATTCTCTTTCTCCTAGGAAAGCTTCTGCCGCAGGAGGGAGAAAGCCAGAGCTGGGCGTGAGGGAGGCGGGGAATGCGCGCGCACCGCCGTCCCTCTCCCCTCCCGCCCCTCGAGGCCTGTGGTTGCCAAGGCGACGAAACTTTATTGACAGCTCTACCTGGCTACAAAGGGCTCCCCAGTCTCTCTCCCTCCCAGACTACTGTCTCTTTCCCTCCCTTCCCGATTACGCCGTTTCGTTTTGGGAGTATCCACAGGAACTCTGTGGGACTTTCCCGCGATATGAACGGGGTCGGATGGAGGGGAGGCTGAGGGAGGAGTGGGGGCTTTAGAGACAAGCGCTGTCTCTGGGGCGCTCCCCTGGGGCACCCCCTAATTGGGATCACCTCTCCACCTCAACCCTGGAGGCAAACGTAACTAACAATTCATCATAATTACGCCAAGAATAATAAGCTCCACACTCAGAACAGGCGGTCTTTGTTTGCTTGTGTGTTTCTTTCGCCACAGCCATCCTTCGCTTAACCACACTGATACCATCCGAGCAGCGTGCTCAGGCGATGTCGTCATCCTGCCAGCATCCTAGAGCCACTCACTCACTCACACCTACGTGGCAGGGCTGCTGACACCTGGGCTGGAAGGTGGCCCGGGGCTCCCGGGCCACACAGCTGTGCAGCATGTTACTGTCCGGTTACACAATGTAGGCGCTTGTGTGTCTACACATAGAAAAGGTACCGTAAAAATTCGGTATTATAATTTTATAGGATCACCGTCACACATGCAGTCCACCGGGTAGCTATAAATCTTGGGGCCTGGCCGGGCACGGTGGCTCATGCCTGTTAATCCCAGCCAGCACTTTGGGAGGCTGAGGCGGGTGGATCACCTGAGGTTGAGAGTTCAAGACCAGCCTGACCAACATGGAGAAACACCGTCTCTACTAAAAAAAAAAAAAAAAAAAAATACAAGTTGGGGAGGGATAGCATGGGAAGAAATGCCAGATGTGGGTGAAGGGGAGGAAGGCAGCAAATCACACTGCCACGTGTGTACCTATGCAACTATCTTGCATGTTCTGCACATGTACCCCAAAGCCTAAAATGCAATTTAAAAAAATAATAATAATAAAAATAAAAATAAAATACAAATTTAGCTGGGCGTGCTGGCACATGCCTGTAATCCCAGATACTCTGGAGGCTGAGGCAGGAGAAGCACTTTAACCTGGGAAGCAGAGGTTGCGGTGAGCCGAGTTCGCACCATTGCACTCCAGCCTGGGCCTCAAGAGAGAAACTCAGTCTCAAAAAAAAAAAAAAAAAAAAAAATGGCCCTTCAACAATATTTGGCACAGAGTAGGTGCTTTGTTTTTGGTGTGTGTGTGTCTGTGTCTGTGTCTGTGTGTTTGAGAGGGCGTATCACTCTGTCACCCAGGCTGGAGTGCAGTGGAGTGATTTCAGCTCACTGCAGTCTCCACCTCTCAGGTTCAAATGCTTGTGCGGCCTAAGCCTCCTTAGTAGCTGGGATTACAGGGGTGCCATCATGCCCAGCTAATTTTGGGGGATTTTTTTGTATTTTGGTTTTTTTTTTTTTTTTTCAAGACGGAGTTTCGCTGTTGTTACCCAGACAGGAGTGCAATGGCACAATCTCAGCTCACTGCAATCTCCTGGGTTCAAGTGTGCTATAGTGGGCCTAGAGTTAGAACCCATTTTATAAGACAAAGCTGTTTTTCAAAAATAAGTTGTAATGGCTGCCCCATTCTCCTCACAATAACTGCTGACCTTGGCTTCTGTAAACAAAACTGCTAGCTTGCTCTAAAGAATGCCCACCATGAAGAGCTGCTGGCCTTTTTCTTATCAGTAACTGTCTGGCCTTTGCTTATCAATAGTTACCAAAATAAGCTTCTGTAAAGTTGCTTGCCCTGCATCCACTCAGTCCTAAAACCAGGATGTGGTTTTTCAGCTTAAATACGCTGATCCCCCTGAGTTCGGAGCCACGGGCTGGACAGACGTGAGTCCTCCGTGGTCGCCGGCAATAAAGACCCTGCAATTTGGCATACTTTTGTCTTGGCTGATAATACTCGACCCAAATACATCACAAGCAATTCTCCTGCCTCAGCCTCCCGAGTAGCTGGGACTACAGGCACGTGCCACCATGCCCGGCTAATTTTGTATTTTTAGTAGAGACAGGGTTTCACCATGTTGACCAGGATGGTCTCAATCTCTTGACCTCGTGATCCACCCGCCTCGGCCTCCCAAAGTGCTGGGATTATAGGCGTGAGCCACCGCGCCTGGCATATTTTGGGGTTTTTTTCTGAGACAGAGTTCACTCTTGTTGCCCAACCTGGACTGCAATGGTGCGATCTCGGCTCACCACAACCTCCATTTCCCGGGTTCAAGCGATTCTCTTGTCTCAGCCTCTGGAGTAGCTAGGATTACAGGCATGCGACACCACGCCCAACTAATTTTGTTTGTTTGTTTTTAGTTGAGACGGAATTTCACCATATTGGTGAGGCTGATCTGGAACTCCTGACCTCAGATGATCCCCCACCCTCGGCCTCCCAAAGTGCTGGGATGACAGGGGTGAGCCACCATGCATGACCAAGCGCTTTGTATGTACTGAATGAATGTATGAATGACCAACCCATGAGGATGAAGCTGACAGTTTCTGTGTTGCTTCATGACTTTTAGGAAGTGACTTGCCATCTCTGGGCTTTAGGTTTCCATCTATAAAACAAAGACCAGCTGGGTGCGGTGGCTCACGCCTGTAAAATCCCAGCACTTTGGGAGGCCGAGGTAGGTGGATCATGAGGTCAGGTGTTCGAGACCAGCCTGGTCAATATGGTGAAACCCCTTCTCTACTTAAAATACAAAAACTAGCTGGGTGTGTTGGCGTGCACCTGTAGTCCCAGCTACTCAGGAGGCGGAGGCAGAAGAATCGCCTGAACCAGTGAGCTGAGATTGTACCACTGCACTCCAGCCTGGGCGACAGAGCAAGACTCCATTTCAAAAAGAAAAACAAAGACCACACACTTGTTTGGCTTCCGGCTTTCCACCTTTTTCATTCTATTTCTTTCCAACAAGGACTACCCCTAGCCGGGTGCTTTACCTCCCTAATCTGTCCTGAGCTCTGAAATGCCCCTAACCCGGGCATCGCTAAGCGACAGTCGACCACACTTTTCTCAGAACTGTCACTTTGGTCAGGATCATGCCAGCAGAACGGAATCAGCCTGGGGACTTGCCATGCAGCAGCCAGAGGAGACAGAGGTGGACAGAGGTGGCCTCACCAGACCAAGGCATAGCTCACTGGTCATCAGTGGGGAGAGACAGGTGACCAGCTCCAGAAGAGATAAGCAGCCTTACCCAGGGAGGGGAAATGGTAAACAAAAAACTCCATAAAAATCTCAGCTATGCTGGGTGTGGTGGCTCAGGCCTGTAATACCAACACTTTGGGAGGCCAAGGCGGGCTGATCACGAGGTCAGGAGTTCAAGACCAGCCTGACCAACATGGTAAAACACCATCTCTACTCAAAACACAAAAATTAGCTGGGCATGGTGGTGCACCTGTAATCCCAGCTACTCAGGAGGCTGAGGCAGGAGAATTGCTAGAACCAGGGAAGCGGACGTTGTGGTGAGACAAGATCACACCACTGCACTCCAGCCTAGGCAACAGAACAAGACTCCATCTAAAAATAATAACAGGCCGGGCGCGGTGGCTCATGCCTATAATCCCAGCACTTTGGGAGGCCGAGGCGGGTGGATCACGAGGTCAAGAGATCGAGACCATCCTGGTCAACATGGTGAAAACCCCGTCTCTACTAAAAATACAACAATTAGCTGGGCACAGTGGTGCACGCCTGTAGTCCCAGCTACTCGGGAGGCTGAGGCAGGAGAATTGCCTGCACCCAGAAAGCAGAGGTTGCAGTGAGCCGAGATCGCGCCATTGCACTCTAGCCTGGGTAACAACAGCGAAACTCCGTCTCAAAAAAAAAAAAATTAATTAATTAATAATTAATAATAATTACAGACTCGCATCTGTAATCCAAGCACTTTGGAGGCCAAGGCGGGCGAATCACTTGAGGTTGGGAGTTCAAGACCAGCCTGACCAACATGGTGAAACCCTGTCTTAAAAAATAATAATAAAAATAAATAAATAAATAAATACATAAAATCTCAGCGAGTATGGTGGTGGGCACCTGTAATCCCAGCTACTTGGGAGGCTAAGGCAGGAGAATTTCTTGAACCCAGGAGGCAGAGGCTGCAGTGAGTCGAGATCGA